GGCCTTGACCCTTACGCACAGCGATTGTTCCAGATTCTCTGAATCTTTTGATGATGTTATGCGCAGTTGATGATGATAACTTAAAAGTTTTTGCTATTTTACGCTGGGTAACACCACTCTGGTATTGCTGGACTATCTTTCTGCGCAACAATGGTGGAATTGGTGATCCTCTTACCATCTTGGCTTCTGAGAGACACTGACACTCTGAGAAGCTCTTTTTACACCCAATCATGTTGTCAATTGACCTAATTAGTGTTAATTGGTCTTCCAGCTGTTCGTTATATGCTCAATTTCCTTTTGCCAGCCACTTATTGCTACTTGTCCCAACTTTTTGGGGATTTGTTGACACTGTGAAATTTTGAATCAACATATTTTTCCTTTAAAATGTTACATTTACTCAGATTAAACTTTTGATCTGTCATCTGTCATTGTTGATGATTCTGGACTTCAGAAGGAACAAAAACATCTACACCCCCCTGAACATAAGAGGATCTGCGGTGGAAGTGGTCTCCAGCTACAAGTACTTGGGTGTACACATGAATGACTGGAGCAACAACACCACCAGCCTGATCAAGAAAGCTCATCAGAGACTCTATTTCCTCAGGCGGCTGAGACGAGCTGGACTGGGAAGCTCAGTCCTCACCTTCTTCTACAGGTGTGCAGTGGAGAGCATCCTGTGCTCCAGCATCAACGTGTGGCATGGAGGCTGCACAGCTGCAGAAAGAAAAGCTTTGCAGAGAGTGGTGAAGGCTGCACAGAAGTCTGTTGGAGTCAGCCTCCCCACCATCACAGACATCTACACCTCCAGATGCAGGAAGAGGGCTAACTGCATCATGAAGGACCTCACTCACCCAGCACACACACTTTTTGCCCCACTTCCCTCAGGAAGGAGGTTGAGAAGCATTAAGTGTAGAACCACTAGACTGAGGAACAGCTTCTACCCTGAGGCTGTTAAGACTCATGAATCTCTAACCAGAATAATCCCAATTACCGTTTTCTGTACCACAAACTGTACCCAGGGAGGCCACACCTAGTCTGTATGGTTTACCTAAAATCCACAAACAAGGTGTACCTTTAAGACCAATCGTTAGCATGATTAACTCTGTCACTTACAATGTTTCCAAATATCTGGCGTCTGTACTCATCCCTTTAGTTGGCAGCTCAGAACACCACATACAGAACACCATGGACTTTGTGGATAAGGTGAGGGATGTCATCATGGAGACTGATGAAACAATGGTCTCTTTTGATAACACATCACTCTTTACGTGCATTCCTGTTGATGATGCAGTAGAGGTGGTCCGTTTAATATTAAAATCAGACACCACACTGAGCAGCAGGACCACGCTTTCCACAGAACAACTGTGTCATCTCTTGAAACTGTGCCTGCAGTCAACCTACTTCACATATGGGGAGCAATATTATAGGCAGAAACATGGGTGTGCTATGGGGTCTCCGGTTTCTCCTATTGTTGCCAATCTGTACATGGAGGAGGTAGAAAAGAGAGCCTTGATGCCCTTTTCATCCACCCTTTGCTAAAATGTCTTGATGACATCAAGACTTGGATGGCTGCAAACTTCTTGAGTTTTAATGATCAGAAGACTGAGGTCATTGTGTTTAACCCAAGCTCTATCACTGTCACTGATCCTGTAAACCTGCACTCCCTTCAGCCTCATCTAAAGCAGTCGGTTACCAATCTCGGGGTAGTGTTAGACTCAGACTTTAAGTTTAATAAACAGATCAACTCTATTCTACAAAAAAGCTTCTTTCAGCTAAGGCAGATAGCAAAGCTTAAGTCCGTTCTGTCCAGATCTGACCTTGAAAAAGTAGTCCATGCATTTATTACAACCCGGCTGGACTACTGTAACTCGCTTTATGTTGGGGTTAGTCAGGCTTCACTCTCACGTCTCCAGCTCGTACAAAATGCTGCAGCTCGGCTACTAACAGGAACTCACAGGTTTGAGCACATTACTCCGGTTCTGTCCTCTCTTCACTGGCTTCCTGTACGTGTCAGAGTTGGTTTTAAAATTCTCCTGCTGACATTTAAGTGCGTTAACGGCCTTGCACCATCATACCTCTCCGACCTTCTTCATCCTTATACTCCTTCTCGGGCTTTGAGATCATCAGACCAGCTGCTTTTGGCCGTACCAAAAACCAGGCTGAAGCTCAGAGGAGATCGAGCGTTCTCATCGTGGGCCCTAAACTTTGGAACAATCTGCCCATCAACATTCGACAGGCCACCTCAGTCTCTGCCTTTAAATCTCTCCTAAAAACACATATATACTCATTGACATTTAACACAGGGTGATCAGCTTTAGATCTGGTTTTTCATTGATGCTGATTCTGTTTATCCTTTTGTTATTATTCCTATTTAACACAAGGTCATCAGATCTGATTTAGTATTTCATTGTTTCTGACTGAGTTTATGCTTTTTGTTATTATTTCCTTGACTTTTGACACAACGTGATCTGATTTAGTATTTCATTGTTTCTAATTGTTTTTGGTTTTATATTTTTATTCCATGTGATGTAAATATATTTTGCTACTTTTTATCTGATGATGTGATATTTTTGTTAAGCACTTTGGTAACAGTTTCTGTTTTAAATGTGCTCTATAAATAAATCTGACTTGACTTGACTTTTCAGGGACACCACCAAGTCATTGGTTCTGGTATGTTGACGACACCTGGGTTAAAATTAAATCTCAGGAAGTCCAACATTTTACTGACCACATCAACTCTGTGGATAAATACATCAAGTTCACATGAGAAGATGAAAAAAATGGCAAGTTGGCTTTCTTGGACTGTGAGGTCTCAGTCTCTGATAGAGGACATTTGCAAACTGAGGTGTATCGCAAACCCACCCACACAGACCAGTATTTGCAGTTTGACTCCCATCACCCTTTGGAGCACAAGTTAGGAGTCATCAGGACTCTGTATCACAGAGCAGACAGCGTCGCCACTAGCTCAGGAGCCAGGCAGAAGGAGAAATCCCACAAAAGACAGGCTCTAGAGCAATGTGGATATCCTAACTGGGCCTTCCTGAAAGCAGAGAAGAAACCCAAACAGGACTCCAGTCAGCCAACAGGTGAAAAGGAGGAACCCAGACCCAGACCAGTGGTCATTCCATATGTTGAGGGAGTATCAGAGAAACTGAGATGTTTATTTTCTAAACATAACGTCCCAGTGGCTTTTAAACCCCAAAATACATTATGGCAAAGACTGGTTCATCCCAAAGATCCAGTCCACCGGCACAAACAGAGTAATGTTGTGTATGCTGTTCAGTGTCAGGAGGGCTGTGATCAGTCTTACATCGGGGAAACTAAACAGCCACTGGCCAAAAGGATGGCCCAGCACAGAAGATCAACATCATCAGGCCAGGACTCTGCGGTCTACACTCATCTCCAGGCCAGCGGTCACTCTTTCAAGGATGAAGATGTTCACATCCTGGACAGAGAGGAACGATGGTTTGAGAGAGGAGTAAAGGAGGCCATCTTTGTGAAAAGAAACTGTCCATCGTTAAACAGGGGTGGAGGCCTCCGTGTTCAATTGTCCCCCTCTTACAATGCTGTGATTGCTAGTATCACTCAGCCCTCTGTGAATAGTAAACAGCCATCAGTGTGCTAATGATCCATTGTTAGGCTGATGGTCCTTCTTGAGCATGTGATCAGCTGGATTTGGTTGTCAGCAACAAAACAGGTTGATCCACTCTGAGAAGGTGCTATTTAAGAGACTGAGCTGAATACAGCACCTCAGACTGAGGAAGTCTCTCAGATGAGAGACAAAACGTTTCTACATTTTTTTGTTGTTTTGCTTTGTTTTGTTTTTTTTGAATGTCCAGAGGACCAGATTGAACTTTTTTGGATTCTCCAGTTTTAGTTTCTCTCCAATGGCTCCCAGAATAGAATTCAAAATCCTACTTCTAACCTACAAAACTCTCAACAACCTGGCTGGAGCCATCTTATATTACAGATCTTATTGTTCCATATTTTCCTAACGGAACACTTCGCTCTCAGACTGCAGGTTTACTTGTGGTTCCTAGAGTTTACAAAAACAGAATGGTAGGCAGAGCTTTCAGTTATCAGGGTCCTCTCTTGTGGAACCAACTCCCAGTCTCTGTCCGTGAGGCTGACACATTATTCAGTTTTAAAACTAGGCTTAAGACTTTCCTTTTTGCTAAATCCTATAGTTAGGGTCGGCTTGGGTTTTCTGAGCTGTCCCTTAGTTATGCTGCTATAGACTTAGACTGCTGGAGGACAAACTGACCACACTTTTTCACTCTGCTACTGTCTTTACTTACTCTGCTCAACCTGTTTTTTATTTGTAATTTTTTTCCATTTTAACTTGTTTTTTTTTGGTCTTTCAGGTGAACCTGGACCTATATCTGGAACTACCATTCTGTGTTCGTCTGTCTCTCCTTCCTGTCCTCTCAACCCAGCCGGTCAAAGCAGATGGCCGCTTGTCCTGAGCCTGGTTCTGCTGGAGGTTTCTTCCTTTTAAAAGGGAGTTTTTCCTTTCCATTGTTGTCACTGTGCTTGCTCAGGATGGGAGACTGCAACAAAGCCAAGATTCATCTTGTCTGCTGGCCTCCTTAGATACAGAACTTTACTAATTGGCTTTTTTATGTATGTGAATGTTCCTGTAAAGTGCATTGAGACAAGTTTGTGATTTGGCACCATGTAAATAAAACGAACTGAATTGAAATATACTACTTACTATATACTTTAAAGAAGCATTTAGCTTCTTTCATGTTTTGAAAGCATCTTAATACTTTTAGTAGTGTGTTTGATGTATTTCAGACTCTGAAGCTGATGTGAGCATAATGAGTCCCTTCAGTAATTTTCTGTAATGTAAACATTAATACTGACAAAGCTGACAGTAGGTAAGTAACTTTCTGAAACATGACGATGAAGCTGCTCCTCACCTCATCCTCAGCTCTCTCTGATGCAGCCTCAGGAAGCACTCCTGCAAGGAGTAAGAGAAGCACACTAAGATGATCATTTACACAAACATTTACATTTATATTAATACACTGCCAATTATTTCAATAATGTGCTGCGGGTGAGACCCTTTCGTGAGACACTTTATTCAGTTTTCAAAACATCTAAATAAGGAGCAGATCAAATCAGTCCATGGTGGCGGTGGTGGTGGGGAGGTGGTTACTTTAAATAAGCCTGTTTTTATGATGTTGCATTATAAGATAAAAGCTGCAGTCAGAAGGACGTCCTTTGGTCATGTTTAATGATTTGTGTAGCAGCAGTTCAGACGCGTCAGGCACCAAGGTCTCACATTGACTGCAGTCTCCTGCAGCTATGTGCTAATAGGATGAATCTCAGTCATACCTTTATTTAAAACAAAGCAGGCTTAATGTTGAGTGTGTATGAACATTTATCCAACCTGAAATTGAGAAAATAAAATTGGAATCCCTTGTTAATCCGCTTAAAGGGTGGTTAACAATTTTCAACATATTCACAAGAACTCAAACCATATGCTGGGGGGAGTGGTGGACTATCTAAGAGTCAGAGAGTCTTTATTGTCATTGGCACCACATGTGGTACATGTGGTGGAGCAAAATTTTGTACACAGGGTCCTAGTTACATCCAACAATAAAATGTAAAAGAAAAACAGTAATAAGATCTAAGATATGAACTAAGAAAAACAAACTAAAAATCCATCCATCCATCCATCCATCCATCCATCCATCCATCCATCCATCTTCTGCTTATCTGAAGTTGGGTCGAAGTAGGGAGGCCCAGACTTCCCTCTCCCCAGCCACTTGGGCCAGCTCCTCCAGGAGAATCCCAAGGCGTTCCCAGGCCAGCCGAGAAATATAGTCCCTCCAGTGTGTCCTGGGTCTTTCTCTGGGTCTCTTCCCGGTGGGACGTGCCCGGAACACCTCACCAGGGAGGCATCCAGGAGGCATCCTAACCAGATGCTCGAGCCACCTCAGTTGACTCCCCTCAATGTGGAGAAGCAATAGCTCTACTCTGAGTCCCTCCCGGATGATCAAGCTTCTCACCCTATCTCTAAGGGAGCCCAGACACCCTGCGGAGAAAACTCATTTCGGCCGATTGTATCTGAGATCTCGTTCTTTCGGTCACAACCCAAAGCTCATCACCATAGATGAGGGTAGGAATGTAGATCGATCGGTAAATTGAGAGCTTCGCTTTTTGACTCAGCTCTCTCTTCACCACGACAGACCGGTACAGCGCCAGCTTCACTCCTGACGCTGCATCTATCCGCCTTTCGATCTCACGCTCCATTTTTCCCTCATTCGTGAACAAGACCCCGAGATACTTAAACTCCTCCACTTGGGGCAGGACCTCCTCCCTGACCCGGAGAGGGTACTCTACCCTTTTCCAGCTCAAGACCATGGCCTCGGATTTGGAGGAACTGATCCTCATCCCGGTCGCGTCACACTCTGCTGCAAACCGCTCCAGCGAAAGCTGTAGGTCATGACCTGATGAAGCCAATAGGACCACATCATCTACAAAAAACAGAGAAGCGATCCTAAAAGCCACCAAAACAAATCCCCTCAACACCTTGGCTGCACCTAGAAATTCTGTCCATAAAAGTTATGAACAGAATCGGTGACAAAGGGCAACCTTGGCAGAGTCCAACTCTCACTGGGAACAAGCCCGACTTACTGCCGGCAATGCGGACCAAGCTCTGACACTGGTCGTACAGGGACCTAACAGCCCATATCAAAGGGCCTGGTACCCCATACTCCCAGAATACCCCCACAGGGCTTCTCGAGGAACGCGGTCGAATGCCTTCTCCAAGTCCACAAAGCACATGTAGACTTGTTGGACAAACTCCCACACACCCTCCAGGACCCTGCTGAGGGTGTAGAGCTGGTCCAGTGTTCCACGACTAGGACGAAAACCGCACTGCTCCTCCTGAATCTAAGGTTCGACTATCCGATGGACCCTCCTCTCCAGAACCCCTGAATAGACCAAACTAGGGAGGCTTAAGAGCACGATCCCCATGTAGTTGGAACACGCTCTAAGGTCTCCCTTTTTGAATAGGGAGACCACCACCCCAGTCTGCCAATCAAGGGGAACTGCCCCCGATGTCCATGCAATATTGCAGAGTTGCGAAAGCCAACACAACCCCACAGCATCCAGAGCCTTAAGGAACTCTGGGCGAATCTCATCCACCCCTGGGGCCCTGCCACTGAGGAGCTTTTTAACCACCTCGGTAACCTCAGCACCAGAGATTGGAGAGCCCGACCCAGAGTCCCCAGGCTCTGTTTCCTCAGTGGAAGACATACCAGTGGGATTGAGGTCTTTAAAGTATTCTGCCCACCGACCCATGACATCCCGAGTTGAGGTCAGCAGCACACCACCTCTACTATAAATAGTGTTGGTGGCATACCCTTATGCTTGAACATGGTGTTCATTATGGACAATCCATGACGAGCACAGATGTCCAACAACAGAACACCCCTCGGATTCAGATCAGGGGGGCCATTCCTCCCAACCACACCCCTCCAGGTCTCACTTTTATTGCCCTCGTGAGCATTGAAGTCCCCCAGTAGACCAAGGAAGTCCCCAGGAGGTGCACTCTCCAGTACTCCCTCCAAGGACACCAAAAAGAGTGGGTAATTTGAGCTGTTGTTTGGCGCATAAGCACAAACAACAGTCAGAACCCAACCCCTCATACGTAGGAGGAGGGAGGCTACGCTCTCGTTCACTGCGGTGAACCCCAACGTACAGGAACCAAGATGGGGGGGCAACAAGTATGCCCACTCCTGCTTGGCGCCTCTCGCCAGGGGCAACTCTAGAGTGGAAGTGTCCAACCCCTCTCAAGGAAACTGGTTCCAGAGCCAGAGCCATGCGTTGAGGTGAGTTCGGCTATTTCTAGCTGGAATCTCTCAACCTCACACACCAGCTCAGGCTCCTTCCCCACCAGAGAGGTGACATTCTACGTCCCAATAGCCAGCTTCTGTAGCCGAGGATCAGACTGCCAGGGTCCCCTCCCTCGGCCACCACCCATCTCACATTGCACCCGATCCCTTTGGCCCCTCCCACAGGTGGTGAGCCCATGAGAAGGGGGACCCATGTCGCCTATTCGGGCTGTGCCCGGCCGGGTTCCATGGGTAAAAGCCCGGCCACTAGGCCTGGCTCCAGAGTGGGGCACCGGTGACCCACATCCGGGCGAGGGAACATTGTTTCCATATATTATACTCATCATAAAGGATATTTGGGCTGCACTTTGTCTCACTAAGCACTAATAGCATAAAAACATTACGTCAAACAGCAGCACGAACATGAGCATGAGTCTGTGTGAGCAGATGAGCACGCATGAACACTATAGCTGAACTCATCGTTTGTGTTGCATCGCATCACCGCTGTATCATCTGCAAACTTTACAATGTGACAGCCTGTATGGGTAGCTGCCCAATCATACGTGAGCAGAGTAAACAGGAGGGGGCTCAACACACATCCCTGAGGAGAGCCAATGCTGATTGGTGGAGGAGGAGAAGTAACTAACCCGGACCCCGTGTTTCCCCTGCCATTATACAAGCAGGGCACCCTGCCCTGTCAACAGAAACAGAAACGAGTGCCCTGCCTACCGTGCCCCCCATCGACAACTGCCGGCACAGATGTAGCACTAAGCTAGCCATGCACAGCAATACAAATATGTTAGTTAAAAATGACTATGGGGCCATTTACACGGTGCGTATTTTGAGTGAATTTGCACCTTTCTCTCTGCGGTTCTGCTGTTCATTTACACGACACCAGTGGCCCATCTCTTTGAATCCAGATGTTTCTGAACCCACCTTCCATTGTGGAGGTTTTTGGCTGACCGCCCGCTGAAAAAGTAAACATCTCCGGCTGAGGCTTTGTGTTAAACCACATGCACACACGCATGCGCGAACAGAGTACATATTTTTATCAACATGGCGGCGGACACAGTGCTTTCTGAACTACGACTGATGGAATATATTTTTAATCTCGTAGTTAATCTACGTCAGATTCCAGGTGCTGTGACCGACATCTGTGTTGGAAGAGACACAGTCGGATCCAGTTCTAATATCGCTGTTTATTGAACGAGCCTGTCGAGGTAGGCACACACGTCGCGCTGCACTATAACATACTTAAATGTGCTAAATAATGAGTTTAGTCATTAAAAACAGTATTTATGTTAAGGATTCTATGGATTCCCCCTATTCAAAAAGGGGGACCGTAGAGTGCGTTCCAACTACAGGGGAATCACGCTCTTAAGCCTCCCTGGTAAGGTCTATTCGGGGGTTCTGGAGAGGAGGGTCCGTCAGATAGTCGAACCTCGGATTCAGGAGGAACAGTGCGGTTTTCGTCCTGGCCGTGGAACACTGGACCAGCTCTACACTCTCAGCAGGGTCCTGGAGGGTGCGTGGGAGTTTGCCCAACCAGTCTACATGTGCTTTGTGGACTTGGAGAAGGCGTTCGACCGCGTCCCTCGGGGGGCCCTGTGGGGGCCCTGTGGGGGCCTTGTGGGGGGTACTCTGGGAGTATGGGGTACCGGGCCCTTTGATACGGGCTGTTAGGTCCCTGTATGACCGGTGTCAGAGCCTGGTCCGCATCGCCGGCAGTAAGAAGGGCTTGTTCCCTGTGAGAGTTGGACTCCGCCAAGGTTGCCCTTTGTCACCGATTCTGTTCATAACTTTTATGGACAGAATTTCTAGGCGCAGCCAAGGTGTTGAGGGGATCCGTTTTGGTGGCCTTAGGATTGCGTCTCTGCTTTTTGCAGATGATGTGGTCTTATTGGCTTCATCAGATCATGATCTACAGCTTTCGCTGGAGCGGTTCGCAGCCGAATGCGATGAGGCCGGGATGAAGATCAGTTCCTCCAAATCCGAGGCCATGGTCTTGAGCCGGAAAAGGGTAGAGTGCCCTCTCCAGGTCAGGGAGGAGGTCCTACCCCAAGTGGAGGAGTTCAAGTATCTTGGGGTCTTGTTCACGAATGAGGGAAAAATGGAG